CAAAGCAAAATGCAAAACAAAAAACAGCAAAAAAAAAAAACACAAAATAAAACAAAGCAAAAAGAACACAAAAATCACAAAATGCAAAACAAAACATTAAAAGACTTTTTTAAATGGCCAATAGAATCCTGCAATGCTTTCCAAAAAGAAAAGAAAAGAAAAGAAAAGAAAAGAAAAGAAAAGAAAAATTAAACAGCAAAACACAAAACAGAGCAACATGAAACAAAGCAAAACATAAAGCAAAACAACACAACATGAAACAAAGCAAAACAAAAAGCAAAACAACACAACATGAAACAAAGCGAAACAAAAGAAAAAGCAAAACAGAGCAACATGAAACAAAGCAAAACAAAAAGAAAAACAACACAACATGAAACAAAGCGAAACAAAAGAAAAACCAAAACAAAGCAACATGAAAAAAGCAAAACAAAACAAAACACTGAAGGGCTTGTCTTTTAAAAATGGCCAATAGAAACTTGTAATGTTCTCTATAAAATAAAATCAAACTAAACAAAATAGGTGAAGTAATTAGAAGGTACATGAACAAGAATATCAGTCAAATGGAGAGCAACACAGAAGATGTGCCCAATCATTTATGAAACCAATGTTTGTTGTTGGACATCAATTTTTGATTTTAAATCACATACTTAATAGAAAACCTTTGACATCACCTTCACCTGACTTTAGCATATTCCTCAACCGTCTAAACAGACCAATCAAAAAGCTGCATCATAAGCCCCGCCCCCTGCCCTGCAGGAATCACTAGTCCAGAGAACATGGCATATGTCTGGACAGGTCTATTATTCACTCACAGCAGGTCTTCCCCTCAGTCTCCATCATTAGAGCAGCCACCGTCCCCAGGGCTCAGACAGCTAGGCCATCACTGCAGCGGAATGAGCGTGTGCTTGTGTATTTTTTTGTTTGTGCGATCAGAGCAGGTGACCAGGGGGTCTGCACCTACCAGGCAGTGTTTATAAATAGATGACAGTTGAGTAAAAACATGGTTTGCTAGAAGAGAAAGGACGGAGGTTGGAAGCAGAAGGGAAGTTGACTTTCCAAAGCAACAAAGAAAATGCACAAAATTCACAAAATTCACAAACACAATGGTCACATACACACTGCAGGTAAATTCAGTTGTTATTTCAAATTTTAGTGCTTAATCCTGTTCTGTACACAAACAGTTCAGTAATTTATGGAAGTAACAAATGCATTCTACAACCGAATTGACTCTTGAAAAATTTAGGTAGTGTCAACTGCATTTGCAGAAATTCTATGCAGTGTGTGCAGAACCGAACTGAACCACTTGTTGTTAATGACGCATTTAAACACTTTGTTGTGTCTTTTCTTCTGTATGTATAGTGCAAGAAATCACAGTG